TAGGTTGTACTGATCAGTTATAATGAAAATGCATAATTATTCTCTTATTTATTTTTCTTTCTTAACTTGTTCTGCTTCTCATTCTTTTTTTTTTTGTGTTACATCATTGTTAATTCCCAATCATCAACCTTAATCTACGATAAAAATTTTACATGGATCATGATAAAAAAGAAACGAATTTAACTATCTTTTCTTCTAAATAAAAAGACAAGGTTAGCATAGACCGAATGTTATGGCCAGGCCTTGGTCCTACCATGATTGACCCTGAACTGAGCAGCGATCAAGACCAAGCTGGCAAAAAAATGGTTCTAAGAGATGCGAGAGTGCATTTGGAGCTTTGAAATATGTTACTAACATATTGTGCGGGTAGTGGGAGCCCTGGATCATAAGATACGCGAGTAAGTTCAAGATAGTGGTCAAGCACCTTCAAACCAAACAGCCCGACGGGTGCCATCAGTGGAAGCAGTGTGTGAGCGTTTTGAGCATGGAAATATGTTGGGGATATTACGCGCGGATAGTCCGAGCCCTAAACCCTAAGATACGTAAATAAGTATGAGGCAGTATGTCGGTACCCTTGGAACCAGCTAGCCAGTCAGGTGCTATCAGTCGAAGCCATGTGCAGGCACCTTCAAATAGATTGGTGGAGCAACGAACAGGATCAGGAATAATGGTGACCAAGAGGAAGGTTATGGGGCCTTAAGTTAGCTAGAGAAAGGTCCTGAGATGGCTCGAGAAAAAAGTATCCCCATTTCGAACAATCTTATGGTCACTGGTAAGAGACTAAGAAAATCTCTTACGCTCTTTATAGGGGATGACGGTATCAGCTCTTCATCACCCCCTTGGTTAGCGGACAGACAGAGACCTGGCTAGTCTGAAGTGAGCTACTCCTATGCACTAATGGTATCTAGGTGGGTGGGCATCGTAGGGTCACGAGTGTGGCACGATGTTTCCTCGGGTCACGATAAACTTGGGGACGGTTGGGGCTGGCGAACCTCTTATCACGCTTTTACGTTGAGCCATAGGGTTACATGTTAATGATCATTATACCCCTCGATTTCCTCTTTTTGAGCTGAAAGGATCATGAGATAGTATTTGCGTAGTTGGGATGCCATTGAGCATGAGGAATGTGCGGGCTAGCAGGCAGGCATGCTGCTAGACCCTTGTGGCCAATCGATAAAGGTGTGCTGCAGTTGAAGCAGTCCACCTAAGTCCCCCTTGCAGGACTAACATGATGTTAGGTGTTAATCATGCGTACGGGTGACCTACGCTGATGCTAAGGGCCTTAGCCCTAAGAACTGAGTCCTGTGGGATGAGATGAGCCTAGAGGCTCCGAGCTGGCTGTTGACTAGCTTAAATGTGGTGCTTGCGTAAACTTGATACGGGAGCTTGCGTACGATACGGGCGGGCATGGTGTTAGGTTCTCACCATGTCAAGAAGTAATAATATCATGAGAACCGGGGTTGCATGCCTCACGGGTATTTGAGGGTGGGTGCTCGAGACCTTAAGCCCTACGGGCAAAGAGGGGTGCTCGGGGCCATTTTGAGAATCATGGGCTGATGAGTGATGGGAGTTGGGTTCCTCTCTATAGTGTTCGAAATGAGTAAGTCAAAGCCAGAAAAGGCTCATGGGTATACGGCTTGAAAGATTGAAATTGATCTACCCAAGAAAAAATGGACTCGATGAAGGCTGACCTTGACTATGAGTAGTTTTGGTGTCGCATGGACATGTGGTTTCAGAATGAGAAACATGCGGACCGTGACAAATTTGGTATCAAAGCGTTGGTTTGGCTTAGTGGCGAGATTTACATGACCCCATGTGTGGGCTTAGTGATGTGAAATCGAGGTGGTGCCAATCTCAAAAGGAGCTATCAAGACGTAAATGCGGTTCTGTGGCTATGAGGGCTCGGAAAGGAGCCAACGATACGTGCTACGAGAAAAACTAGGCCTATGTAAAAGGCTCTCGAGTAGGCTCTTAGATGCTAAGTAAAAGGGCACTGGAGTCTAGCCTCACATAGCAAAAGGTGTTGGCATGTGTTGGGGCATGTGATGCCTTTACGGTGGAAGAAACTGTAGTGAGACCAAGATGCGAAAAGGGGCTTACACCATGAAATGGTGTTGTATAAGGCCATGTGGGTCGAGCGAATCTTATCCTGAGGGGCAAGAGGTATCGAGTTTCAAGATTAATTACTAATGTGTGCACTTGTTGTATGGTGCAGATGCCCCAGCAGGGGTGCAAGCCGAAGTATTTAGGTCCAAGCATTGGGCCATTACACAGAGGAGTGTGAATTGGCTAATGATTGAAAGCCATGAGTGGTGGTGGTCAGTGGACCCCAACAGAGTGTAATCTAGTAGAACAAGCAAATGAAAATTGGCCAGTTGACAAGGCCTTCAGACGTGTAAGTCAGTGGACCTTGAAAATTGAACGGATGGTAGAATCCCCGAGTCAAGCAAGTCGGTGGACTTTGAGATACCCTAGAAAGAGTCAAGGTAGATGAGCTGTTGAACCATCGATGAGTCATGGTTGCATATAGTGCTGAACCAAGTTTTGAGTAAATGTGGGGGAGATGTGATTCCCTAGGGGATTGAGTCAAGACAGAGGAGCCTGAGCAGATGGAGCATAGTGTTCAAGCTAGGAGCAGAGATCGAGTTAGCGCGCGTTAAGATGCCGTCTCGAGGGTGGATGGCCAGAGGGCCACACCCTAGAAAGGTGACCTTAGAAGGGCCAAGAGGACCCAAGTTGAGAGATAACCAAAGTGCCTAAATGCCACTATGCTAAGGTCTATCGTGTAGGGTGCCGTATGAGTGCGATTGACCTAAGCACCACGTCCAGAGGGGCACATCAAAAAGTCGCTGCTGCAAGCGTGCAGTCGATGTGAAGGGTCACGTTCGGTGGGATGCACCAATGAGTGGCAAAGTGGGTGGTCATTCATTCTACTGAGGGTCATTGATCAATGAGGGTGCCTTGAGGTCGCAACATGATATGATCAAGATGAAGCAATGGTATGGCCCATATGAAACAACCAAGATAAGGTTAGACGCTTCGAGTCGAAATAGAGCAGAGTGGCATGGGTGCGGCAACGTGACCAATCTACATCAACAATGGATAAGTACTGTGGGTGGTACCCCATGTGACGGGACCTTGACCCAATCCTTGAGGGCACAAGTGAGAGACATATGAGTAAATGTCAGCTGTGTGCAACAAGAAAGTTGGGTGTGGTCTTGGCGTCGATGAGGGCATCAACATAGTAAGTGAGGGAGAGTGTCATGGCCAGGCCTTGGTCCTGCCATGACTGATCTTGAACCGAGTAGCGGTCGAGACCAAGCTGGTAGAAAAGTGGTTCTAAGAGATGCGAGCGTGCATTTGGAGCTTTGAAATATGTTATTAACATGTTGTGCGGGCAGCCGGAGCCCTGGATTACAAGATACACGATTAAGTTCGAGACAGTGGTCAAGCACCCTCAAGCCAAATAGTCCGACAGGTGTCATCAGTGGAAGAAGTGTGTGGGCGTTCTGAGCATGGGAATATGTTGGAGATATTATGCGTGGATAGTCCGAACCCTAAACCCTAAAATACGTAGGTAAGTGTGAGGCAGTGCGCCAGTGCCCTAGAACCATCTAGCCAGTCAGGTGCTGTCGGTCGAAGCCATGTGCAGGTACTTTCAAGTGGGTTTGTGGAGCAACGAGTAGGATCAGGGAATAGTGGTGACCAAGAGGAAGGTTATGGGGCCTTGAGTTAGCTGGAGAAAGGCCTTGAGATGGCTGGAGAGAAAAGTGTCCCCATTTTGGACAATCTTATAGTCACTTGTAGGAGACTGAGAAAATCTTTTACGCTCTTTATAGGGGGATGACTGGTGTCAGCTCTCCACCACCTCCTTGGCTAGCGGGCAGGCAGGGGCCTGGTTAGTCTGAAGTGAGCTACTCTTAGGCACTAGTGGTGTCTAGGTGGGCGGGCATCATAGGATCATGAGTGTGGCACGATGTTTCCTCAGGTCACGGTAAACCCGAGGATGGTTGGGGTCGACGGGCCTCGTATCAAGCTTTTGCATTGAGCCATGGGGTTACACGGTAGAGATCGTTATGCCCCTCGGTTTCCTCTCTTTGAGCCGAAAAGATCATAAGATGGTGTTTGCGTAGGAGGGATGCCATCGAGCCTGAGGGATGTACGGGCTAGCAGGTAGGCACGTTGCTATACCTTTGTGGCCAATCGGTAAAAGTGTGCTGCAGCTGAGGCAGTCCACCCAAGTCCCTCTTGCGAGACTAGCATGATGTTGGGCGGACGGCCTACACTGATGCTAAGGGCCTTAGCCCTAAGAACTGAGTCCCGTGGGATGAGATGAGCCTAGAGGCTCCGAGCTGGCTGCTGACCAGCTTAAATGTGGCGCTTGCGTACGATACGGGCGGGCATGGTGTTGGGTTCTCACCATGTCAAGAAGTAGTAATATCATGAGAACCGGGGTTGCGTGACTCACGAGTAATCGAGGGTCAATGTTCGAGACCTTAAGCCCTACGGGCAGAGAGGGTGCTCGGGGCCACTTTGAGAATCGTGGGTTGATAAGTGATGGGAGTTGGGTTCCTCTCTATAGTTTTGGAATGAGCAACCTTACGAGGTCAAAGCCAGAAAAAATTCATGAGTATGCGGCTTGAAGGATCGAAATTGATCTATCCAAAGAAAAATGAATTCGATGAAAGCTGACCTTGACTACGAGTAGTCTTGGTGCTGTACAGACGCGTGGTTTCAGAAGGAGAAACACGCGGACCGTGACATCGAACGTGAGAGACAAATTGAACGAAGCTGAAGATTAGGGTGAAATTGAGTTGAATTGGGCCTTGAACGTTCTCGTTCTGGTCTTTCTCGTTTGTGATAACGGATTCCAAAACAGGGGAGTTGGAGTTGGCGTTGGAGTGGGAGTCGGAGTTGGAGTTTTGAGTTTGGGAGAGAATTGAATGCATCCAACCAATCGAAAATAAAATATTTTAGTAATATCAGAAAAGAAAAATACAAACACTTGTATATATAAAACTACAACAATTAGTTGAAGTTAGGTTTAGACTGTAGAGCAAGCAAGAAAAAGGCCGTTTAACACTTAACTGATTCCCTCGTTTAAGCGCCCTATTTCTTCAACCTTTCTTTTTTCCGCAATTAATCTTTCTCTTATGCTTTATTTTCCGTCTTTGTCTTTTACTATTCTTTATTATTATTCCTATTCTTATCTTTTGGGTAGTCAAATATCAGTCCAAAACCCTCCATGAACTATCAACCCCCTTCTAACTGTAGCATTTTTTAAAGTGAAGGAACAAAGAGAGAGAAGCAAAATTTTCCATGGATTCCCAAGTTATAGTGGCGCTTGCTCTTTCACTTGTGGGTGGATTCAGTACTTCTCTAGGTCAGATAACAGTCCTTTAAAAAAAAAAAAATTGCCCCATTTATTATAAGCTTTCAGAATTGATAAACATATATGTAGTTCTGGGTACTTTTTAGCTTTGTGTTTTTGTCTTGTTTCTTTTTGGTCTTAGTTGTAATGTGTAGACCAAGCCATTGTTGGTGTATGATCATTTAACAAGAAATTTTTCATGAATAGAATTCCTTGTGGATTTACGACCTGAGAATTTCCTATTTTATTACTGTTTTATGGAAGTTTTAAATCCCAAAAAAGTTAAGGCATGCTTTTATTTGTTATATTTTCATGACGAGATATTGAAGTCGGCATTTACTGATCTGGGTGGTGTACAATGACAAAGACTGTTAGAGACCATAGATCCAGTTTATTGCAAGAAACCTTGCTGTTTTATGGTAAAGGAGAAAAAGAAGTAGATAACTAATTCTGGATATATGATTGATTAACCTCTAGCATTTCTAGTTTTCTGGCCAGATTTAAAGCACCTGATATCTTGTAGAAAATGAGGTGGCTTGTTCTGCTCAACTGTTGCTTTCTCATAGAAAGCATGAGAAATTTTTTTTGCTTCAACAGTCATGCAGAAAAGCACACTCATGCATCTTTGTTACCCTAATCTTCACCCTAGGTTTCACCAATGACTAAGACTTTATCGCTGCATCAAGTGCAAAGTTTTTGATTGTTGAGTGCTTGGGCTCAAATATCATTATTTTTTAGTTCAAAACAGCAGGACATTATAGTCCAAAGTTTTATAGATAATTTTAACTCTTAAGCACCAAACAATGTGTTATTATCTCCAATTGTATGACATATTTGTTTCCCCTGTTTACTTTTCTTCATTACTTAGTTATTTGGTGTTCATTTTTGTATAATAAATATATGCAATTAGTTTCAGAAGCTATTTACTTTAACAGTGTGTCCTCCAATATGGTACAGGTGCTCTTTTTGTAATTCTTAATCAAGCTCCAAATTTGAAAATGCTTGGGCTTTTACAGGTAATGCCACAAGGTCTGGTTCCAACACTGAAGGCTGAAATCCTTTACTTAGCTTTCATCTTCTTCCTTCATCCAGAATATCAGTTACTTAAATGATATTAGACAAATCGGAATTTTTCAATGCTAAAACATTAACTGTTAAATTTTTAGTATTGAATTTTTTGAGTACTAACTTTTGCATACTGCTTATAATTAAATATTAAATTAAGTTTTTTTTTTATTTTATTTTTTTGCAAAAGAGATGTATGATCTTTTAAAGATGTTAATCCAATCAGAGTTAAAGGGAAGATGATATATATATATAAAACTTTAACTAGCATAGGCCTAGCTTAGTCAAATAATAAAAAATTTAAAATACTCTTGGCTGAACACGATAAGTTGGTTCCAGATATTTAACATTTTCAACAATTTTTCATTGAAAATACTCTATCCAAGTGATTTCGGAAATAACATAAACACATCGAGAATATTTAAATTATTAAAAATTTTTAATGTGTAACGAACATCATCATGTTTAGCAAAGAATCATCTGTTAAAGGATTCTAGCCCAGAACATTTTTTGGGGTTATTTTTATTTTCTTAGCTGCTTGGTTTTACTTTATATTTTATCTTTGTATGCTTTATTTTTCAAGTTCTTGTGAGTTAAAATTTTCCATTTTATATTTGTTAGTCCTAGAATTCTAGGCAACTTTTTAAAGAATCTGTTAAAGTTAATGCCTTCTGTATATTGACCTTTTTTCCTTTTTTCCAAGAAATAGATAGATAGTAAGCAGATATCTTGTCCTTACCTGGTGTCTCCTTCATGCAGGGTTTTGCTGCAGGTCTAATGTTGAGCATATCATTCCTTGATTTGGCTCATAATGCTATGAACTCCATCGGTTTCTTGAAAGGCAACCTCTGGGTTAGCTATATCTTATCAGTTTCATTCTAATTTCCATGCTTAACGTCTATTTCATGATCCATTTTTGTTTCTCTGAAGCTAATTTTTATTCCTGTAACGATGCAGTTTTTTGCTGGTGTTGTCTTCTTTGCTGTGATTGCCAATTTTATACCAGAACCAACACTTTCTCAGAGTTCTGAGGTGCAAAGCAAAAAGGTTTGGATGTTATTTATGTGTAATATTACTGAATGATTGTTCCAAATTGGCATCTGATGCATCTGTATTTACCCAAAAATATTGAAAGCTATATTGACTGTTTGATAATGCATTTGAGAGAAGAAAAACAGTGATGAAGGGGGCAAGGACATGATGAAAAAGCATCGACGCCAGGTTTTATTCAGTGGAGTTATTACAGCAATAGGTAAAACTGTCTTCTAGACAAGTTTTAAATCTGCCATATTTGATAAGAAACCATACATGAAATTGGCCACTAAGTTCATTAATTGAATGCATATTTGACAGATATAACTTCAAATACATTAACTAAATGCATAATTGACTGATATAACTTCAAATAAAGGGCAAAGGCTTTGTGATCTAATATGATCAAATTTTAGGTGGTCAAAGATAAAGTATAAAATTCCATTGTTGCTTCCACTTTCCATCAGTGCAGATGAGTTGTTGAAGATGGCAACATGATGTTCAATACCTGAAGAATGTTCTTGTGTTGTCATTACGCTGAATTGGGAAAGCATAGAGTGAACTAGCTGGTACTTGCTACGATATGTTTGATTGCTTGTATTTTGTTGGCCTAAATTTTATTTTTTGCTGAAAGGTGCTTGATTTAACCTGTGATTCAGAGTAATGCTTACTAGTTCATTTCTCCTCTTCTTTAAAAATTGCATCATAAATGGTTTAAACTAAACTTGGCTGCTCAAATATTATATATATGAAGTTTGGACGATTTGTTTAATCAAGGAATGGGAGATCTAACATCTTAGCTCTTTTTGGTTCTTTTTATTTGGTTTAGCATATTGCCTTTTACTAACTACAAGAAGTGCTCATATCACTCTGGTTGACTGAACTTTTATAAATGGCAGGCATAAGCTTGCATAATTTTCCAGAGGGGATGGCAGTTTTCCTTGGATCCATGAAGGTAGTTCCAACCTACTTTATTTATTATGAGATTATCAAGTAAAATTTATAACAGAGGATGTTCTGCAACTAAAATCTGCTGAGATTGAAGCAACAATAGCCTAACTTACTTTTAAAATATTCTTAGGTGGTTCATTTAGCAGCTTTTTTTTTTAAAACTCTAGAAGCAGTTTTCTTGAATGGTAAATTTCCTTTTTTAATGGTCATCAGTGATTGCTGATTCAGCATTCTGAATGCTGATTGTTTTAAACGTTATTGACTTAAACACCATTATTATTTAGGGATTTTTCTATGATTCCAAATTATTTATGTGCCAAGGATGACGATTGAACTATTGATTGTTAGATTTGAACTGAATATTTTAGATTTCATTTATGGCAATGAAGAACAACTATTTCTTCATTTCTCTTTCTTTTTGGGAGGGGGATGGGTTCTTAAGCATAGAAAGCCTTGGAACTTGCACCAGGAGAAGCTATCCACATTAACAACAAATACTAAATATAGGTTCCTGAATAATCCCAAAAGGACCCTTACTACATAGAACTTCCTCATTTTGGTTGGGTTGATTCTAATGCCAAAAAGAAATGCTAAATGCTACCATGCCAAGTGATAAATGATCGTGAGCAATTTATTATTTCATGGCTGTAATTTCCATAAACAATTCAACTGAATTATGGATGGTCTTAAAGTTGGAACATACTTCTTAGCAGAAAAAAATTTTGATACTACATTTCTTACTGCATTATTTTGTTTTGAAGGAATGTCTTCTTGATGCTAGCAAACTTGTTGGTTGTAGTTTTTCATTCTTGTTGGCTAGTAGAAGCTACTAATTTACTAATGGAAGTATTCACTTGATATAAATTTCTCATTGAGAGCCCACAATGTTTTGTCTGTATGTTAATGAATCTCTTTTCTTGCCTTATGTTCTCTTGTAGGGCCTTCATGTTGGACTTAATTTGGCTTTGGCCATTGCTTTGCACAACATCCCAGAGGTACGTATTCTTAAATCCTGTAATTTTTAAACTGGCCTTGAAAGCAACCCACTTAAGTTGCTGGTTCCCAGTTTAACTCGTTCAAAATAAATTGTTCTTTCTTATTAAAAAATATATTGAATTTGGTGATGATGACAACAATGTGCATTTTGGTTGATTGTTTACCAACTGATTTATCAACTACCAGGGCAAGGTTTATATCTCCATTTGCAAAAGATTTTTTAAAATCTGGTTTTAATGAAAAGGAACCAGTCTATCCATGACAGAGTTTTGACCTCTTGTTAAAGGGGTTCAAGGCCTTATAAGAGATCTGTTCAACCAGTTGAACTGGCCAGTCTGGTTGAGTTTCAGAAAACTGCTTAAATCAGTTAAAATGCTGGTTAGACATGCCAGGTTTCTTGGATGTTGTATAGAAAATTGGGTTACATTTCTTAAATCAGTATATGCACGTATGTTTGAGAGAGAAGAGAGGGGAATGTGGTGTGTGTTTGTATGAATGTATGAATGTATGTTGAACTTTTCTGTAAATCGAGCAAACCTAAATCAGTTATGTATACACATGCAATCTTATAGGGAGCATTTCATCTACAATTCTTTTTACCACAATCTTGCACTTAACCAACCACAATAATGGCTTATGTAGGGGTCCACTACTTATAAGTGTGGACTCAATGTAATATTTTGATGGATCCTACACAATTCTTAATTCTGTTATTGGTTAAATGTAGTGCAATAATTATAGGTGATAAATATATATATATATATATGAGTGTTTGTGTGTGTGTGTGTGTGTAATTAGAGAGTATCTTGTTTTATCTAACTTCTTTATGTTCATTTTACAGGGTGTTGCTGTTGCACTTCCTGTTTATTTTGCTACTCAAAGGTGAGAATTTATTGAGACCCTGATCAATTCAGTTTTTTGAAAATCCACTCACAAGGCCCAAATGGACACTCAAATGGTTAGAATTAGGCACTTTCAATTTGGAGGTTGTTGGTCTGAATTTTGGGGATGCGGGGTACGTCTGAATTTTGGGGATGAGGGGATGGGGTTTATGAAATGTGAAAGAGCTATCTCCTTTTGTGGATCTTGGACATCTACCAAAAAGATCTATGGTGAAAAAGTTGAGGAAAATTATTTTTTTTCATTTATTTATTTTCTTCTGCCCTCTGCTATGTACCATAGGCTGCCAAAATGAAGCATTTGTGCTTGTTGAGAAGGTGTATACCAGGGATAATGATTGTGGAACAATGGCTAAGTGTAAGGGTTGGCAATGTGATGTAGAGATGGTGGTCTTTCTGGTAAACACCCGTGGTAAAGAGGCATTAGTCCTGATTTTACCGGAGGCTCCTGAGTGATATTGGTGATATTACAGATTATAGTTAAGGTACTAACGCTAGTGTTGGAGATGATGCTTGTGGTTTGTTGCTAAATTTATTGTAGGAATGGTGAAGAAATTCTCATTTTGACAGTAGCATATGTTGTGCTGATGATTGCATTAGTAATACTTATGAAGCTCTGCATTGGTAACTTTGCTTTTTCTCGGGCCTATTTTTTTGACTTCATATGAGCACTTGTGTGTTGGTGAAGTTACGGATTGTCCTTTTGAATGTAGTTCAACTATTCTTGTTTATTTTCTGCGTCACTACAAGCTTTTTCCATTTATTCTACACTAATGTCATTCAAGCATGGCAGTCTTCATCTCCGCCATGATAATTGGATTAAGTTGCCTGTTCTGGTGTTGGCATTATATTGTGAGGTTTTTTTTTATTTTTTGGTCAGCTAAATGCAGTAGTAAAAACTGAACTATGTCTGTGAGATTGCTGGATGAACTTCTTTTTATGCTTTTAAAGCAGTGTTTCCATTTTTAACTATATGCTTTTAAAGCAGTCTTTCCATTTTTAACTATGTAAACCAATTAGAGCTTATTCGTTTGATGAAATTAACTGGTCGGTTTGTATTTTTTGTCAGTAAGTGGCAGGCATTCAAATTGGCAACACTTTCTGGTTTTGCTGAGCCACTTGGTGTTGTAATTGTTGGTAAGTGAACATCCTTTTCTTAAAGAATCAGAAAAATATTTTTTTTTTAAAAAGGAGTAAAAAACAGAAGTGTGGTCTATTGGTATTATGTGAATTCTTAGTTTCAGTGACCAGGGACTTCAAATATCCAAAAATAAAAACATAAACATAAAAATTCCCCCCTATAGGAAGAAAAAGAAAAAAAGAATGAGAGAGTTTTCTTTTGACGAAGCGTGAAGTCTATAAGTGAAATGCTTATCTTTTTTACTGAAACGTAAACCACAGTTATGAGTTATAAGCCGCAATACTGGGAAAACACTGGGAGCTATCTGGACTAAAGACAATTCCTCTTTCATTTTTGTGCATTGGGAAAGTTTTTATCTTTATCTTTTTCTATTTTTGGTTTTGTCTAATATAATTTGCATTTAAGTCTGAATATAACCTGTTCTGTTGTAGTCAATGGTGAATTTAGAGCCTGCTCGCTTGCAAGATTATTCTCTATAAATGTCAGGCTATCTGACTTTGTTGATTTCTCTTTTTCCTTTCACCACAGCCTACCTATTCCCAAGCAGCTTAAGTCCTGAAATTCTTGAGGGCTTGTTAGGATCAGGTTTGTAGTAACATGGATCATTCAGATCTGATCTGATTCGGGAAAAAAAGAATCTAGAATCTAGCTTCCTAGCTCTCTGTTATTATCTTGTGACAACCTTCTACTCTGAATTTATGTTAAAATTTCAGTTGGTGGGGTGATGGCCTTCCTAACATTACATGAAATGCTGCCATTGGCATTTGAGTATGCGGGGCAGAAGCAAGCTGTCAAGGCCGTTTTCTTTGGAATGGCTTTCATGTCTGCAAGGTGATAAAATTTATAGTAAACAGTACGCTGTTCCTAGAAACAGTTCATAACCTTCTTGTTTTCACTGCTTAGCTCACATAGAGATGCAGTTCAAATTCTGGTAAATTTTAACCGCTTGCCCCATGGGGAAAGGAAATATTAATTCTAGGAAGCACTAAATAACCACAATAGCTAGGGAAAGAAACATTTTGGAGAACTATCTAGTAAATTGTACTTGTAAAATTGCTGTTGGTTTATTTGCTGGTTAGTTTCGAATCACATTTCACCGAATTGCATTGTACTGTTTATTAATTTATTTATTTTCTCATAAACTTACCTTTTACATATCTCTTCTATGGTTTTGCATGCAGCCTATACTTTCTTGAATTAAGCTTACCTGTGGAGATGAGCTTGTAGCCTCTTTCCATGAACCAACCAACAAAATATTGTAAATTCCTATACCATGGTGTCTGCTTTTGCATATGATATTGATGGCTTTCTCTGATCTTTTAGCCAAATGTTGAGAAGACCTACTTTAGATCTAAAGCAAAAGGACGAAGGGGCAAAAATGTAATGTACAAAAAATATCAATTTTTTTCTTTTAACAAAATAAAGATTGAAAACAAAGAAAAAAAAAGGGAAATAGTTTACAAATTTTGTATTTTAATAGCTTATTGTTCTGGTTGAACCTCATTTATTTCTTTACCAAAATGCAAAAATCATACTTGTGAAATCTCCCTTTTTTTTTTTTTTGGTGGATTTTGCATCTCCAATTGGCTCATCTATTATTTATAGCTAGTTTACGGGCTAATAATACAAATGATTTTTGAATTATAATGAAATATTTAATATAGTATTTAAATTTTAAAATATTTAATGTTATATCTAAATTATAAATATGTTAATTAATATGATACACAAAAAATTGTTTGTTTATCTTGTGTTATTATTTGAAGTTAATAACATTAGATATAAATATAATATTAGTTAATATATTTATGATTTAGATGTTATATTAAAAATTTTTAAAACTCAAATCTATAGCTGTCAATCAATGTCATTTTATCATGTATAATATTGCATTCATATTGTGTTTTACATAAAAATTACGTGTTATAGTTTATTTCGATATGAAAATATAAAATATAATTTTTTATTTTATTAAATTTATTTATAATTTTTTTAAAATCTTAAGCGAAATTATCTATGTTTTTTATTTATATCTTTTTAGTATTATATTGTATTATCGAATTGTATTTTAAATTATCAAATTTGTTCAGATATCACATTAAATATTTCATGAATCATACTTAACAGCTTCAGATTTTAGCTGGACGCATGCCTTAACGAGGGACACTTAACTGTTTTTTTTTTCCCCTTTTCTTCATATATTTTTTTTAATTCTTGTTCCAAATCAACCTACTAGTTTTGAAATTCCACTGTCAAAAACATTGAAGACTACACTAAATCGACCTGCCCGGGATGTTAGATATGGTTCTTTATGGCAGCTCGGGAAGTCATATTTGTAGGCCTCTCTGTTTAACTTTCAACTCTGATCGACACTCCGTGCACTGTTACTTACCAGAAACGATTAAAAGCCTTTGAGTTAGAGCTAGTTATAATGACCTTATAGCATTTATCATTGTTCTCCGGAACCGGAACTTCCAGCAGTAGCAGGACTGGCTGACTTGCCATATTATTGAGCCAAAATCAAGATCATGGTAATAACAACTCCTTTTCCTGATAATGTATTTGACTGCCTGTGCGTCAGTCAATTTATATGTAAATTGAAATGAAACCACCAGTTCTCCGGAATTTGAAATGTTTTATTTATTACTTAGCCATGTTAGAGATGGAAACGTAAATCCATAGGTAGACAGCTTACGTTTGGATTAAAGCGAGGTGAGGAAAAGGAAGAGAAAGAAAAAGAAACTAGGAAAATTAAGAAAAAAATTTTTATTTGGTTTATTATTTATATTTTAATAAAAAAAAAAGGAAAGGAAGTTAATATCCTCTCTTTTTCTCAAAATCTTTAATTTTTAGCTATCCAAATTGGGATAAATATAAAGGAAAAAATTAAAAATTTTTAAATATAAAATAACATTTTTATCTTTATTGTATTTTATTATTTTTTAAATAATACTATTATAATATTCAAACTTAATTATTAAGATTACCTTTAAATTTTTTACAATTCATTTTTTAACGATTTTTTATCAATAATTTTGAATTTTATATATTTATTAATTTATATACTTAGGTCTTGTTTTTTTCTCATTTTGTTATCACTTTATAAATTTTAAATCATAAAATTAAAAGAACACGACAAAATTTACCATTTAAGTCCATTTTTCCCTCAATAAAAAGGAAAGGGTCTTCATCCTCATCAAAATCCTGTTTGTTTGTTCTTTGTTTTCTTCTTTTTAAAGGTTAGTTTTCAATAAACTTTTCATTGTTTCTTAACATGACTTCTTGATATATAAAAACATCATTGTATTTTCTTGGAAATGCAAGTCCTCAAACAAATAATAAGGGAAACAAAAATCATATCAAGAGATTCATGGGATCAAACCTGTCCAGTCCTATCCTTCCTTTTGTAGGAAAAGTATGCTTTTGATTGGATTTGACAAAGTTGAATAAACGAAGTGCTAATGGTGGCTGGAGCTAAAGGGTCCTCTGTATATATACATATATATACAGCTAAAGCAAAAGTGAAGATGGACAAAGTATTTCGTCAGCTAAAGCAAAAAGAGAAACAAATATTTTTTAAAAGCCTTTATTGGGAAGACCGAGTTGATAGAGAGGTTTTTTTTTTTTTTTAAGAAAAACAACTAATATTTAAATTTTAATCATTAAAAATAAAATTTGAATATTTATTAACGTATTATGGGATAATTAATATTAATTCACGCATTTGATTGCCAGCCCAATAAAATTTAGACAAAGTAACGGTAAGATTTAAAAAATCGAGTTAATAATTTTATTGAAAATTATTGATCAGGAGAAACGCCATCTTACTTTTATTTTTTAAATGAATGTGGTTCATTTAAATTTATTACTAGTTTTCCAAAATCGAATAATCAACTTTGAATTGTTTTCTGCCTTTTGCAATATATATAGTTGTAGCAGTTTTAGTAGAATATATATGTATGTGGTGTTTAGGAATTTCATTATTAGTGCATGAAGATAAGTTCCTATCACAATTTTTTTTTATTGAAATAAGTTGAAGTATAAATCAATACAACCTGTAGTCTTTAAATTTTTCTTTGTTGTAAGTGATGATATACATCATCAATAAATCAGTAATTAACCACACAAAATTTAATGGAAAATTGTTATATAAACCAAGATTTATAATTTTAATGTTTATTATTTACTTAGATACAATTTTATTAGAATTTATCTTATTCTTTTAAATTTTTAGAGTTTTGATATAAATATATTATTTTATTAGGGTTTTGTGAAGCTTATTGAGAAGGGGGTTAATTTTACTAGTTTGAGAATAATTAAGGATGGATGAAGTTTTTATGAGATTGAAGAAAACATTATCATTTATCCAAAAAAAAAAAAAAAGAGATTGAAGAAAATACTATTCCCAGTTATATTACTCAAAACATATTATTTATATATTCCCAATAGAAATTTGTATGTGATTTGCATTCTTTTCTATAAACTCTATCCGGTCTTCTAATTTATTCATTTTCTTTTTGGAATTAAAACTATATTATGTTTTTTTTTTTTTGAACATATACTATAACTTTTCTTATATATCTTAAAATATTTTTTAATGATTTTTTCTAACTACTTTGTTTAGATTAAAAAGTATAGAACACCAATCTTATATTAGAAAGATTAATTTTAATATAAAATATACGAAATAAATTATTTTGCTTAAACTTTTGGAAAATTAAACCAGAACAAGGAAAATAAAATAAAAGGAGTAAAAAACAAAAATTAAAATTTTAAATTGTTAAAGTATGGAACACCAATCTTATATAAAAAGATTAATTTAATATAAAATACATGAAATTCATTTTTTTTATATATCAAAACTTTTATTCTTAAATATAGTTAAAAAAGAGTTAAATATGAAAATCATCCTTATACTATATACTTTATGTTAGTTTGGTATCTAAAAAAATAAAACTGTTAGTTTGATACTCCAACTTTAATTTCATAATTTTGGACTAATGACATTAGTTAACTTACTGGTGTAACATAAATATCTACTAAAATACTAATACATATAAAAAAAAAAGTTCAATCTATGTCATATCATTAATTACTATGTCAATATTAAAAAAAATTTAAAAACAATTTTAATTTAAAACAATCTAATTTTTTTTAAAAATTCTGAAATACTTTTTAAATTATAAAATATAAAAAAACCTAAATTTTTTTTAAAAGTTTAAAAATTAAAAAGTTATGAAATTTTCAGAATTTCAAAAAACTTGAAAATTTTAAAAATCTAAAAAATATTTAAAAAATTCAAAATTCAAAAAAATAAAAATTTTAATAAAAATATTATTCGTAAAAACTTAAAAAATCTAATTTCTTTTCTTTGAAAAATAAAAAAGCTCGTAAATTTTTAGGAAAAAATTTAAAATTTTAAAAAATTTTGAAAATTTTAAAACAATCTTAAAAAATAAAAAATTTCAAAAATATGAAACATTTTAAAAAATTATTAAAAATTAAAAAAAATTGTGAAAAATAAAAAGGAAAAAGAAAAAATGAAAACTTTAATAAAAAAATCCAAAAAATTTAAAAAAATTCTCAAATTTTCCAAAAATATATAAAAAAAATAAAATTGTAAGATCCAAAACAATGAAAACTTTTCATAATTTTTAAAAAAATTTTACAATTTTTAAATTTCTTCAAAAAATTTTAGATTTTTTATTTTCAATTTTTAAAAAACTTTTGCCAATCTTTTTTTAATTTTAAGAAAATTTTATTTTTATTTAAATTTAAAATTTTTTTGAATTTTTTACTAAAATTTTGAGATTTTTTGAATTTTTAAATTTTCATAATATTTTTAAGTTTTAATAATAGTTTTGTTTTTATTTTTTATAATTTTTTAAAATATTTCATATTTTAAAAAAAAATTTAATACTAACATGACAATTGATGATGTGACATTAATTGAAAATTTTTAAAATTTATCAGTACCTTATTGGATATTTATACCATTTCAACAAATTGATTGATATTATTAGTCTTAGATATTAAAGTGGATAATAAAATTGAAGTTGAAGAATCAAACTGACAATTTTATTTTTTATGTACCTAATTAATAGAAAATGTATAATATATGAGTCATTTTTATATTTAACTCATAAAAGAACATTAATGTTATGAATGATCTTGAATTATAGTGAATTATTTAATGTGATATTTAAATTTTAAAAAATTTTAATATGTATTTAAATTATAAATTTATTAACTAATATGATATTTATAAAATTATTTATCCATCAAATATTATCATTTAAAACTAAACACATTAAAAATAAATATTAATTAATTAATTAATTTATACTTTAAATAACATATTAAAAATTTTTAAAAATCAATAAACACATTGAATATTTAATCATAAGTATAGAACTATTGGAAACATTAAACTTTAAAAAAATTTAAAAAAAAATTAGAACTGAGAAATAAGAAGTGAGATTTACGTATTAGAAATTATGGCAATATGATGGAGTTACAGGAGCAGTGCGAGAAATATAAGTATTGGAGTTATTGTTAGGTGGAAAGTAAATACATAAAAAGGATACAACGATCAATCTCTCATGATGAAGGACCCATTTGATCCACTAGAGTGACATTGCGTTGAGATTTTAATCATTCTTTTTTTCAACCTTACTGTTATGGTGTTTGGATTCTACTCAAGAGGTTCAGTGAAGTAATTGTGCCTTCATAATTTCTTTGGAGCTTAATGTCTAATGAGCTTTATGTCTTTCACTAGATTTTCTTTTCCTATTTTACCATGGATTCTTTTTTATTTTTTCATTTTACCCTTAAAATTATAGTAATTAACAAAAATATTCATACCAATTTTTTTATTAAAAATATTAAAATAATTTTATTGATTTAGTATAATAAATAAAATTTATTATATAATAAACTAATAAATAAATAAATTTTATTATATAATAAAAACAAATAATATATATTAATATATTGATTGAAAATGAAAATTTAAAAATTTTAAATGTTATAACTAACATTAAAAATAATAAATTATCAATATATTTTTAAAATAAAATATTTAATAATAATTTTTCAATCATTATTTTTTTAATCCAAAAATACATCTTAACATTAATTTTAATGTGACTATTATAATAATTAGTCTCTCCTTCATCGGTTTTCTCAATTTCACAAGAGCTACTCTTCCCTCCATGGACCCTAAAAGTTCATTAGTGTTCAAAAGTGAAATGCTATGACAGGTCACTATGTAACATCGAAAACAAGAAAGAATCATTTTAAAAAAATTATTTTTAACACTGTTATGTTAAATCTACATGTACAGTGAAACTCTAACAACTCTTTCTCTCTCTCTCAAGACTGGCAAGCGTACCTCCATTTTAAAGCGGAGCAGGAAGAGAGAAGCTGATGACTTGAAATGTAACGGAGTCTTAGCTTCTTTTTGGTTTCGCTCACTCTGAGACAGCTGCTTAAGCTAAAGCAAATATACGAATAGTATATGCTCTGAGGAATGAATTGTAGCTTGACATGACATTTCGAGAGCAATCTTTGGACTCACCTTCTGTCTTTCTCTTACATATCAAGTCCGGGTTACAGCAATTCTAAGTAAAGCTGCCACCAAGACTCTTCCAAGCCTTTGTTGTTGTAAAAATAATGCTAATAAAACACTTGTACTGTCACTCCCGCCTTGCTTCCCTTCGATCTTTCTCTCTCACACAATTCACACGCTAATCATTTGATTTGAATTTCACTTTTGTGAATCTAAACATAGTATTTGTTCTGTCCATCCATGAAAGCCCCTTCCACAACTAACCGAAGAAAAATGGGATCAAATCATCAAATACACCAAAAAGAAGAAAAAAAAAGCTGATGCATTTTTCACATAATATGCCTTCCCCACCCTATTATTCAGTCTGCCTATTCTTATTCGAGGGCTAGGGCTAGGGCTAGGGCTATGGGCTAGGGCTGGGGCATCCTACTATCTAGCTATGTCGTTCACTGCCTATCTGTTAACTGGCGTGTCGACCCATACAAAAGGAATTAATTGATGACAAAGTACGAACAATAATTTCATGTCCTATCGCATAATTTACTTATTTACGTCCTTTCTCTTCGTCGATATCCCCTTCTAAACTATCACTCATACCATTACCAGACAAGGAGAAAAAGAAAACCGGAGGGGATAGTTAATTATTTCCTATAATTTTTCTTTAAAAAAAAGAAAGAAACAGCTCCTCTTTAAAAAGAAAAAATCCTTTCAAGTTGTATAATATACGATCGGGTGTGATGTACAGCTGATGCACTTTTTTTTGTTGTTTATGCAAATCTGTATATATTGTGAGCATGACTGAATGTTACATGTTTTTACATAGCATAAAAACAAGTAGATCAATAATAAAAATGTTGACGAATACAATTAGACTCAGTTTCCGTGTATATTTTTTGCGGCTCAGTTTGAAAACAATGGAAAACTCTTATCATAATTACATTAATTTTATTATGTCTAACTCAACTCAACTAATCAACGGCCAATTTGATCAAAACTTAATCAACACAATTATAGCTTGGAGACCAAATACATAAAGGTAAGAATAACAAAAACACTTAAACCTATTACATACTCTTAAGTTTCGATCCATTGAAACTTCCTTCGCACATTTCACAATTTTCATTTTTCTTATCTTCTTTAACCTATATCATATGTAATATTGACTTGAACATCAAAATGCATCTCAAAATAACAACTCCAACTCCCTCTAACAGTATTTTTTGGCCACAGATTCAAACTATCATTTCCTTCAATCTCATCTCCTGCCTTCCAATTAGGATAACCCAAAAACACCATCAACAAATTTATTCATAGCTGACACGTAAATATAAACGATAATTCTACATCGCCTCAAATAGAGAAGCGATGAAATTAGAAAAACAGGAATTACATGCTGGAACTTGGTCTAGCATTGTTCAGTGAGTATCTCTCTACTGCCAACCAAAATCCCAAGTCGGGAAATGAAAAAAAAAAGAAACTCAAAAAAGGTGAACAAAGGGGTAAAAGATCATAAAAGCTCCTCATTTAATTCTTAATTCTACAGGATTAATTTGTTTTTTCACTTGCGGAGCCATGTCTACAAAAAACCATTGCATGAAAATGTTAACTTTATTTGTATTCATGTGAAGATGGATTGATGAAGCACTTTTTACGTCACTGAGAGGAATCATCATTATCTTGCTCAATTTCAGAAGCTGGCTCATCTTCTTCATCAAAAGAGTCAATGCCATAAGCTGAATGGCCCTTCCCAAATGCCTTAATATGATCTTTAAGAGACCTTTTGTGCTTGAAATCAGATCCACAAGTGCAATACCAAAGCTTCCCGCAATTCTTCTCATGGGTTCTCCAGTCACCTCTGACAGCAAGGGTCTTCCTACATTTTCTACACATGAAAGGTTTGATTCCATGCTTTCTCTTGTAATGGGTTTGAAGAGTTCTAAAATCTTTGAGAGGTTTTGAACTGGGATGATCGATGTTGTTCCTGCATCCGGGTGCACAGCAATAACAAGGGAGCCTCAGCATGGCCGTTGGTTGTGTTCCCCTTAGAGACTCTGGCCCTTTTCTATACTGAGATCCATGCCCCCACATATGCATCTACATAAATTAAAAAAAAAAATGCAAATTGAAAGCTAAATTTATCAACTTCAAGACTATAGGAGGTTTCCTTTTTAAAGAACAAAAAAAAAAAAGGAAAAGGAAGAAAGAACATTCACTAATTTAGATTAGATATCTAAGGAACTCAGGGAAAAGCACACTACTAAGAACGCTGCTTAGGGCTTTTTCCAAATATTACTACTAAGAAATATACTATCTTCCTGGACTATGGGTTACAAAGGAAAAAGTATTTGATTAGTTCAGGATGCTTGCTTTCATGAATGGTGCATGAGATACGCAACTTCAGTAATAAGTCTGAATCACACTTACTGAAAATTTTCCAAATAAAGAACCATTTTGCAACTGGATGACCCTGGAGGAGTGAACTAACGAGGGTTTGCCTCAGATAGGTAAGGGACAGAGACATGGGTTCGATTCCCACGCCTTTTGGAATGTATTTTCTCTGCCTATTGTACGCATTGAAAGAAGAGAAGACGTAATGACGCTTGAAATAATGAGGATGTAAGTCATTCAAAAACGTCTCTGCAGGTTCAGCTACACATCTTGATTTACTTCACAGATGAAGCAAATCTTTTTCTCTGCGTGGGGATTCATGAAAATGAGATTGTCCTTAAGCTTGGGGCTTGATTAGGGAAGAAAGGATCTGGCTGTGGCTCTTGAGATTTGAGTGTTGAGAATCAGAAAATTTTGGGTTTTATGGCTTTGATGACGATCATCTGATCAGCCCCGGTAGAAACATTGCTACTTACAGTTCTACACATATGCCAATGTGTAGAACACAAACTTCAAGGTGCAGAAAGCATGATACTTGTGTTGTTCAATCAAATAAAGAGGGCAGTGATCTTATGCTCGATTGGACCAGTTCTCGATTTATTCTTAATTTTCAAATCCCAACACCCACAAATCATGCAAAAATAAGAGATGGACTAGATGGGAGATTTAAGAATGGAAAACAAATATATAATTATAAATATATTTTTTCAAAGTGACAAAGCAGAAAAAAAAAAGAGAAAGATATGCATTAAAGTGAAACAAAAGAAAAAAGGAAAACCCTAAGGACCCATATGTTTTCTATCTTCTCACCAGAACCAGGCGTAGAATAAAAGTGAAGGGTTGAAATCTAGCTCAAAAAGAAGAATATACAAACGAAAGAAAAGAATGGGTTCTCTTATTGATGCAAAAGAAAAATCTAAAGGGAGAAAACAGAAAGAGATAGGTCATAGTAAGAGAGGAAGAGGAAACTAGGAAAGGGAAGGTTTTCTTTAGATTTAAGGTTCATTTTATGGAACATACCTGCATGTTGTTGTATCTGTTGAAGGTCTTGAAGCAAAGTGGACATGAAAACTGTGTAGGTCCAATCAGAATCTGAGCAGGAGTTGGGATCCAATAGTGACCCTTGTTGAGTGTATTTGATTGGTACTCCGAAGCTAAAGTGACATCTTCTTTATCTGCAGCAGCAGTTGCTGAGACCTCCTGATCAGCAGCTGAAAACCTTGAGATCAAATCAGCACAAGAACTAGGGCTAGGGAGTCCCAAATGAAGAGCTACAGTGACAGTTTCGTCATCACCACAAGTAGAGAAGCAGCTTTCTTCTTTGTCCTTGTTTTTCTCCACCTCCATGGCAGTACTGCAGGAACTCTCTTGTTGTTCATGCCTTGTTGGGCTTAAACTGAGAAGAGGAAGAGCTTCTTTAAGAGGAGGAGAGGGAGGTGAAGGTCGATAATACTGAGTAGAAGAATTTCTGTAGATAGTATTTGGGTAAATATTGTAACCATAATTAGGAGCATGTGAAGATGGATTTGAAGTAGATGTAGAGGGAACTAAATGGTTGAAAGCATTGAGGTTGAACCATCCATTGAAGTAATTGGAGTAGGGATCAGAATCAGACATGGCTGATAGAGATAAGTTGAAGAAGAAAGTTGGGTTAGATGATTAGAGAGAGAGATAGAGAAAGAGTAAATCCAAAATAAAGTTGACCCCAAAAGTTTATACGGGCGAGACTGAACAAGACCACCGAATTAAAGATGCGTATGGGACTAGAGTTAAAAGATAAAATGAAGGGTTAACTGCTAAGAATAACAATTAATGTTATGAAGGGCTATTTACAGCAAAAGCTTAAATGTGATAGTTAAAAATATTTTAATGTAATATTTAAATTATTAATTTATTAATTAAATTTAATATATATTTTTAAATAATAATACGTTATAAATAAATTATTTTTAAATACCATTTTAATTAATAAATTTATAATTTAATATTATATTAATTTTTTTAAAATTTAAATATCACATTAATTATTTTGTTATAATATAAATACATTCATAATATTATGAAGAGCGTGAAAGTTGATAAAGTTAAAATAAAAACAAATTCAATTCAGCAGTCCACGAAAATAGAGGTTGAAGAAGTAAATAAATGAAGGGAGGGAATAGAGGGGCAAAGACAAAGTGAGTAATTAGGGTTTAGAGTTTTGTCTGCCCACTACTACCTCCTCGGTTGCTTCTCTCAATCTCATCATATCTCACAAGACAGTCAGAGAGAGAATGTTCAAACTACTGAATAGAAAGAATAGAAGCATTCATACAAATTTAAGAAGGCAGAAGGTGGTGTTGGTTTTGTCTTTGTTTTTCTCCCTCCTCTTGTCAATGGTGATTGTGAGATTTTCTTTCTTGGCATTGGGAAACAGATAGTCTCAACCCCAGCACTTTCCTTGGTGGACACGCCCTGGTCGGCTTGGCTCAGTACCAGCTGAGAAACTGTCCCCAACCAACCTCACTGTTCAACCCTTTTACATTTCATTTGCTTCACATTTCACCACTACAAACTTTTACAATTACCTCTCTCTCTCTCTCTCTCTCTCTATACGTGCTCTTACTGTCTTACATCTTTAAGTCTCGCGATGTAACCAATCACTTTTAATTAATTAATTATTTATTTTATTATAATTTTAATTATAATTTAAAATTATATAAATTTTATATTAAAATTTAATATAAAGTTACATTTATAAATGATAAACTTTTAAATGCATTTTTATTATAATTAAATAATTATAAAACTATAATAGAAATTTGTAAGTAAAATACTCGGTCGAACTCATTTCGACCATCTAATAAACTTTATATATGTGTTCCACAACATGCACATGTACTTTTGTTTCATGTTTGCCTTTTATATTTATATATATATATATGGTAATTTCATTTCTCAAAAAGTAAATTGTAAACATAAATATAATTTTTTTTCAAATGATTTTTTTTTTCTTTTTGTTAAAAATTGATCAACTGAGTTTCACTTGAGCAATTGTGGAACAACAAAAAAAATTAATATAAAATATTTATATAATACAAACATACAAATTATTAAATTTATGTGTAAATAAAAATTTATCACAAAGATTATAAATATACATATAAGAACATTTCAATACTCATGAAGAACTGTCATTTTCTTTACGTGTATAGACCCACACAAAGAGGGATTCGTATAAATTTGTATTCTAACGGTAGTGACAATAAATATTAATTAATCTTAAAAGTTATCGATGTTAAAATTTTCATACTTCACTAAAATACCCTTTATTTAGTGTTTTTCTTATCTTAATTTATTAGTTAGAACAAAGACAAAGAAATATATGAAGACTTGGGGTTTTTACATGTATAAACTTTCATAGCTTTTAGAGTGATTATCAAGATATATAATTTTGTCATTGTCATTGAACATTTAAAAATGCATATATAAACATATAATTCAATTATCCATACACGTTTTTTTTATTTATTTAAAAATTCCGATTCGAATTCTTTAAAATAAATCAAACTTGTAAGTAATTAGGCATTAAAGGGTTAAATGAAACTTTTGAAACCACTGAGTCAAACTGATTTTCATGCATGCATGCAATGCAAAACACAAAATTTGAAAGTGTAATCTTTTTTTTTTTTTTATTACTCAATAGGCGGAAATAATTGACTTGGAAGATCAGTTTGACATATGCATGAATCCCAACGTAAAAAATGTCTTCTGTTAAACAAACATGCCGTCAAGTTAGACTAGACAGCATTGGCGAAGAAAAGAGAGCAAGTCAATTAAGTTTAGTTTTTTAACATTTCTGGTCATCTGCACTTGTATTGTATATATAAATGTATGGTGATGAAATGTGAAACCTAATTAGAACAAAATTCTCAATTGATTCTAAGGTGGACTTCATGTTCCAATATTCCAAGTTTCCAAGACAGCACGAGTATGTTGGTGTTTCGTTTGAGTATCTCTTTGAAACTTCATGTCGATGTCTTGTTCTCTTATCTCCAAACATCTGCCTCTGTTTCTTCTATACCGTCAGAGAAAATGCACCAACCAAAAAGAAAGTTTATTAAATATTTATCTATTTTCTCATTGTGCTTTAGCAATGTGGAGGATTAAGTACCCTAAGATTAACTAAAAGGGTCCCATTTCAGCATCTCAGTCAAAGGATCATTCATGAACTGTTTAAGCTGCATGCAATTGTTTAAGATGTTTTAATTATTAAATAAATTTATTAATTTTTATATGAGTACTGTAATGAAAAATGTGATTACTCTTTATGCTTGCTTGAAAATTATGGCGATAATATAAAAATTATTGATCATATATGTTTCAAAATTAATGTTGTTGCATAACCAAGGGTTTTTGCCTCTTGGGACATGGTAAACCCTGTTTCAAAAGATAAGCGGAGAGGATTAAAAGGAAATAATTTCTGCATGAAGAAATTTAAAAAATAAATAAATAAATAAATAAATAAATAAAGAAAGAGGAAGGCTCTATTAAGTCTGGATTTTGGCCATGAAGCCAATTCCAAAACAGTAACGTTAAATATAAAAGGAAAAACATATACATTTAGCAATTGCATTTAAATTTTTTTAATACTTTTTTAAAATTGAGTAAAACCTTCATACTTATAGGAAGCAAATGTTTGTACTGATGTCTTGGCAAAAATAGGAGCTTCCCAGGAGCAGAACTTTAATGCTTTTTGTTGAACCTCCTAATGGTTTAGTTCTTGTTCTGTTTGCTGATGCTGTTGGAGTCGTATTACCTATAATGTTAATTTCAATGTAACTTGATTTTCTTTTGGTTGTTAATCTAAATATTTCTATTTCATAAAAAAAAAAATTTGTGTAAAATCTATAGAGAGATGATAAATTCGGGGATGATGTGTATCCTTTAGCGTATGTTAAAGTAGTTTTATTATTATTATTTTTTTTTACATTTATGTACCTCCTAATAATCCGATTAATAGAGTATTCTAAAATTATATATATATATATATATAATATTACAACATACAAAATTACTTAATGAGATTTGGTTACATGTAATCTTACGTGTACAACCTATTTTAATGACACATAAGATAGTTTTAAATGTTCATCCAAATAAACATTGTTACATGGATACTTACATGTACTATTTAAAAGTAAGATAATTCTTTAATTAAAAAAAGCAGGATAATTCCTTAATTTTAATTATTTACAAGATAAATTTTATTCAATAAATTATTCAATGTTCAAAAATTTTAAAATTTTAAAAATTATGTTTACCCCCCTCTTTTAATTTATATATCAATTTTATCCTAATTTAAATCACACAAAAACAAATATCTCAATTCATTCTTATCATCAATATGTTAAATCAAAAAATTCAAATGCTAACTGTTAAAAATCAAATATTTTTCAATTAAATCATTGTGATTTTACTAATTTTTATTTTTTTCTCTATATAATACTTTAAATATTTGGATTAGTTATCTGTTTCAGTTTATTTTAAATAACATATAATTAGACATATAAAAAAAACAACAACCTTATGATAACAGTAAAAGATATTCAAATAGGAGTTATGAGTTAAAACTTTAAAAGGAGCAGTAAATATTAAATATTGATAATAAAATATAATTTAGATATATGTCTTTTAAAATAGATTTTTTTAAATCATTTACATATATCTCTTTTTTAAATTTGAAAATCTCAAATATAATTTATACTATTTAATGATTTTCTATTAATCCTTTAATATTTGTTTTTTTTAATTCAAACAAATTAACATAATTTATTATATCTTTTATCCTTTCAAAATCTACTTAATAATTAATTATTTCACATATTTGTTATTCAATTATACTGGGAAGGAGTTTGGAGTAGTTTTTAACGTTTATAGGTGTTGCTTCACAATTCAGAGTTTGTGATTTTATTCATGTTGGAAGGTCTGCACGCTCCTAAGCTCGTAATAATGCTAGGACAGAATGTCCACTTAGATATAACCACGATCGGGAAGGGTTTTCACTATAAAAGATAACGGGTAAGGTCAGGATAAGTTTTTTACTCGCTCTGAATCCGATCTGATTATATACATATAATACTTAAACTCGACTTGATCCGACTTGACATTATATAAAATTGTATCTAATCTGACTTGATCTAAAATTAATAAAATATTATTTTTAAATATAAAATATTATTTTTTAAATATAAATATAAAATTAATTAATTAAAAAATAAAATTTTTTATAAATATTAGGTCGGATAGGGTCGAGTTTGTCTAAAACCAGACCTCGACTTGATCCAACCATGATTTTCTTCTTCTATCATCCAACCTGATACTTGATTTTCAAAAAAAATAATCGACCATAAAAGATTGAGTCAGGTTGAGTCAGAACCCATTTGATACAAATCAAACTGTTTTCTCTTGCTTTTACCTGTATCAGTATATATGTAATGTTGATTTTATTTTTTAATTTTGGTCAATGGATTTGTTTATTAAAAGAAAATCATTGTTGCTTACTATTTTTAATTTGTGATTTAGCTTGCATTAAGTATAGGTGAGATATGAAACATATAGTCCCCTTTCTAATAACCTC